TCAAGGCCTTTGCCTAATAGTGGGGGATAGAAAGAGACAAAGTACTGTTGTAGTCTGAAGTCTCACATAAGGCCACGTAGGACATGCTTACCAAGACAAAGTCCAAACTATATGATTGCATCACTTTTGTTAGGTTACCAGGGAGGTCAGTTGGCTCCATGGGAGGAAGGTACGTGAACTAATCTTGTTGAGTGACCACCATCAGTAATCGCCAACCCCTCCAAACACCCCTAGACGTTGCTAGAACCATTCAACCAAGAAATCCACCTCTCAGGTGATTTCTTATTCTGGGATGAGGGCAGAGGCGTCACTGATTTCTTCTCTACGAGTGTCTTCACCTTCGGGTCTCGGTCAGTCCTCCCCAGAAGCTCAACCTTACAATCCATGTCATCTCCAAAGGTGAAATAACTCACTAAGGAGACACAGGTTGTGTCGCAGCTCTATACCTCAGGTCGATGTAAGCATCGTGTATCCCTCTCTCCTCCTCACCCGCCAGACTTGGGGGAACCTCCTCTCTGGGGGTCGACCGATGGGAGTCTGAAGCCTCAGATAGGTTATCCCAATGAGCATTTGAGGTCCTTGTACCCACCTAAACGTAAAAATAAAAGGAGAAAGAATGAGAGAAAAAGGAGAAAAATAGAAACTATTTTTCTTACAGGTGACGGATTTGCCCAAAGTCTTCAATAGCCTAAAAGATGGGTCATCCATGTCCAAAGGATTCTTTGCCCTAAGCTTTTTTCCTTTGACCTTCACTGCTGATACCTTGAGCCTTTTTCTTCACCCTCTCATCTGATTCCTCCCATAAACCCTCTATCATATCCCCAGAAATCTCAAACCACAAGACCTTATCCTCGACATCCCTTTTGGTGAACTGAAATATGGAGAGAATGCTCCCCTCGATCATATCTGCATAAATGCGAATATGCTATGGTAACTTCTTCATCCTCACTACCTCTTTGGTAACGGGTCAGAAACAAATCTGCCAACCTCATCGTTGAGTGGAAATTATGAACTTGGAGCGCCAATCCTTTTTCTTGTTCTCAACTCCTAAAATTTAAAGGCACAACCCATCCTCATCGATCTTAAAGCCAAAGAAATATTTGAACAACTCTATCAACTATCCATAGAAACTTCATCCACCAAAGATAGATGATGAAGGTCATTGTGATTGCAGTGGAGTTTGACAAGACTTGAGCTGGAATGATATCATAACTATTGAGAATGAATATCATCTTGCTGCAAAATGACAACATGATCAACCCATACCTGAATTGACCAACGTACATATCCAAGCTACCTCCGTAATCGCTTGTTGATGTTTCCCCCTTAGTAGCCACTCGAATCAACATGTTTGACCCAAAGGCACATGGTTCGAATAATGTAGCCATATGCCTCTCAAAGATGCCCAACGACACTGCCATAACATGAATGAAAAAAGTCACTAAAAGAGAGATAAGAGAATCAAGCAAACATTCCACGGGACTTATAGCCTACGACAGAAGTCGAAACACCACGAGGATAATATGGTATTTTTGTCTCATCAAAGCACAAGAAAAGTGTTAAATCAAACAAGCATAACAATGAATTAGTAAACACACAGAGAAATAGATATATATATATATATATATATATATTAAAAAAAAGCCAAAGGGCTGATATATTAAAGAAAAAGATTATATAGCATATAAGTATAAATTAATTCACAAAGACAATGTACATTATGTAGGTGTCGTCTTTACAGTTATTCACTTGAAAAGAAAAAAATTGACAAAATTTAAGATTCCCTTCTCTTTATTACAGTTGTTGTTATTAAGGAGCAAGAGAATCGAGGAACTTTAATATATACATCGAGAACATGCCAACATGAATAGCAATGACATCTCATGGATGAAGAAGGAGCTGACGTGGCCTCGCGGGATCTACCTGAGGTAACCTAGTGCCACACACTCGGTCAGCCGACACCACTAACCAGGAAAGCAAAGCGTCTCAAGCGGATAAGGGGTGGGCCGCTCTTGATGATCCCACCTAACCAGGTCCTCTTGAACAAGCCTGATACACCAAAATAATGTGTTATTTTAAGCATACAATTTATGCTTTTTTTGTGATATTGTTTATGCTTATTTTTTGTGATATTGTACTTTAAAGAAGGGTGTTTTCATGTTTTTGTTGCAGGTATATTAATTTTAGGCATTTGGAGCAAAAGTAAAAAAAAAGAACAACATTTGGAGCCAAAATAGTGAATTTTGTGATTTTGGCGCCTGAAGCGCCACTTTACAAAGAGCTGGCGACTGAAGTGCCAGACTTGGCGTCTGAAGCACCATTATACAGAGAGGCAGCGCCTGAAGTGCCAAAATTGGAACCTGAAGCGCCAGAGCCCAAAAAAAATGCGAACTTAAGTAACTTGGCGGCTGAAGCGCCAGCTTAGTGCCTGAAGTGCTAGAGCGACACTTGATGAATTAAGGCGGTTCGGGATGAATTTTGCGTGAATTTTGAAGGGTCCAAATGTTTCAAATGTCTATGGAGTGATTTAATGCATATAGACACTTTGGAAGGTTCTCTAATGAAGATATATGTCTCTTGAATCAATGGACATGTCTTTTGAAATTGAAAAGGTTTAACTTTTGGATAGAATTTTAGAATGAATTTTGAATTCTTTTAGGAGGGAGGCAGCCTCTAATAAAAGAGAGGGAATTCTAGGGTAGATGTGTGTGGCGTGAGAGTAAGGAGAGGGGCATAAGAAAGAAGACGTGGCATATAGAGAAGTTTTGTGGAGAGAGAGTTAAGGACATAGAGATTTTCTTCAAGGGTTGTAATAGGAGAGGGAAAGTGATAAATTTCTTCTTTATTACACTTCCAAGAGAGAATTGAGAGCGCTTGCAAAGAGGGAAAGTGCTTAAAGAGAACTTCTAGGGATTTTCTTGGGAAGGATTGTGAGATAAGTTGTGTCTTTTATTTATTTGTTTTGTAAACTTATTTTTATATATGAAATCTGTGTTTTGTCGTATCCTTTTCATGAATTCTAAGTAGTATTCTTTATCCTTTATTTGATAATCAAAATAATATTTAGTGAAAAATTGATTTTGTTTTATACAGTTTTAAATTTCAAACATTTGTGATGATTTGAACTCCGATCTTCATTTATTTTTTGATCTGGCCAATTGAAATGTAAAAAAATGTGTTGAGAAAAATATGATCTGAAAAATATGATCTAAAAGGGCTATAATTTCTACAACATAGTGAGAGTCACATTCAATTTCATGGGTGTGGATGTTATCCATGTGTTTAAGTGCAAATAAATAAGAAAATATACTTTGTTGGATGCAATATTTGAGGTTTTAAGGTGACATAATAAAATCCCAATTAAAATCCCCAATTTGGTTCAGTTGATTGGAAACTAATGCGAGATTGTTAGCCGTCAGGTGAGGGAGGTAGTGGGAGCTCTGGAGTGGTGGGTGCTCTTGAGTGAGAGCCGGTATCCTCCCAACCTAAACACGAAATTAGGGACCAAACTGGATTAATCATTGTTCTTTATGCACTTGAAAGATGACAAAGAATATGATTGTATAATAAGAATGCTCCTATTTGACACAAAAATAATTTTTATATATATATATATATATCAATGATTTTAATTTCTTCACAATCTATATATTCCTTGTAAAGGGGAAAGATATTTTCTTAAATTTGAACTCTTCATCACAGAAACTTTGTTTAGTTTATAGAATTTTACCTTTGAAGTTTAGCAATTAGTTTAGTTAACTTAGTTCTTTTAAGTGAATTTTATTTAGCATACACTCAATTACTTTAGATTTGAATTTCATACTTACGTTTTGAAGTTTGAATTGTGTTTTACATTATAGTCATAAAAATTTATTCATAAGCATCTTCTACTTCCCTATGGGATCGATATCTAGGACTACATTAGAGCCCTTTATTACTTGAGCGATAAGTATACTTGCGTTATTATTACGGGTTTGACAGTTTAAAGATTTTAAAAGATAAAATTATTTTTACTAAAGTTATTTCTAGTTGGATTTGAATTGCATATTTATTATTATGTGTGTGCTTTGTAATATTGAAAAATATTTACAAAAAAATACACAACAAATCCGAGCATCGGAGCCCACAAACTCAGACAAATCGAGAAAGTAAAGCGGATCCCCCAGTTTCAAGATGGTTGATGTTGACCCTAGTACGTAGTTGCCCGACCAAACAACCACTTAACTACATAGCTGCCTGGCCTAACATCTGCTTGGCCACACCCGTGAGCCTCATGTGTGACATTCACATATGGACTAAAATCCCCCGGCCATATCTAAGTATTCTAGAGGTACTGTATGTAAATGTATAAGGACCCATTTCTATAAATAGGTGGTGAATTTCATGATTAAAGGTTACATAAATTCACAGTCCTTTGTAGTCCTATTGCTCTCTCTATCTCTCTCACTCATCCCCTAGCGCTTTATTTCTTAGGCAAGTCGTCTGGACATAGCCATATTCAGCGACTCCAATAAATATATTAAAAGATAACTTTTTTCCTTGTAAAAATGATATGAACATCCTCCAAAAATTTCAAGCTTTTGCTCCAAATTAGCAAAAATATTAGTTTTACATTCTATCCCAGACTATTTTTTTTATTTAGATCACTATGAATGATCTATTTTCCATAACAGAGATCTTTAAGTTAACGTGTGAATTTAGCTTGAATATTGTTAATAGCTCGAAGATTGAATCAAATTTTAGCTACGAGCCAAAATTTTGGATCAAATTTTTTTCGAACAGATTTTGAACCAACCCCAGCTCGGCACAAAACCAGATCTTTAATAGCTTACAACAATGAATTTAGCAAATTTAGCTCATTAATCACTCGACAATTGTATCAAATTTTAGCTCCGGCTCAGCTCGAATGGAATCGTTGACAGCCCTACCTTGAAGTAGATTCTATATAAGCATAAATATGCCACTACTTTCTCAATATCCACAACTTGCACCCCCTTCAACTTTCCTCAACACATTCCCCTACGCCCGCTCGGCCAACATGTCTGACCATTCCTCCCTCTTCAACACCATTGGAGATTTAGTTGGACCCTTCAATCTGTCGGTGCAGCTACGAATCACATACAACCACAGGCTTGTCATTAATGGCTGTGATTTAAGGCCTTCTGCAACTGTCACTCGGCCTATGGTTGAAGTTGGCGGAGAAGATTTCAGTACTTTCTACACCCTTGTAATTTCTCCTCTCTCCTCATATCTTATGCATGAACTACTCACAGCTACCATAATGATTTCTAAACTTCTTTAATGATTTTGATTCTATCATAAATAAATATTTCATGTTTTATTTTCTTCTGCCAAGAGAGAGATTTATATGGTATTAAGATTCATTAGGCCTTATATATATATATATATATATATATA